TGTTTAGTGATTTTAATCCCATCCAGAATACGTGTGTGGGTCATTTTCACTCCTACCCCAGTATAATAATTACAGCTGTAATTACCAGCTTTTTTTTTTTCTGTGAATTGGCTGGTCCGCCTGTAATTTGAATTCCTTCCAGAGTGGATGTCCTTGTGTTTTAAAGTGGAACACTTAGTTTTTTGAAATTTGACTTTAGTGTGAAAATGGAGGAAGTGGAAAATGTTTTCACTAATGTGATCAACAGAAACATGTTAACACCAATATATTTGGAAACCAACACAAGGTTGGAAAATAAATTAAGGAGAGAAAAACCTTATAAAAGCTCAACAAATGTCCCACTGTCTTGTCAGCAGCACGTAGGATGGTAGTCAATGGTATTAGCTTTTGTTTAGTCCTCAGAATGCCCACTATTACAGATCATGTCCTGAACAGTAATTTCACAGTTTATTTCTTGTATATAGTTAATCCCATCTGAATGAGGCGTTTAGTGTATGGCGTATTGGTTTTCTGTGTCACACCAAAGACAGATGTTGGTGTGGCGAGTGGTCACCACCCATCTCCTTCTTAGCAGGAGTCACATTTCTACGGAGTTCTCTGGTTTCTGATTTCTCTCTCATGGTTTTCCCGCTGAGGCCAGGCTGTCTGCAAGCATCTATACATCTTCACTTGGTTGTCTTCTTTTCTGGTCCTAAATGAGACGTGGTGTAGTGTAACACTCAGGGCACGCTCTATTGTGTCATCCCTAATCGCCAGACCCCTACCAGTTTATCATAATTAACAGATCAAAGAAGCGGAGAAAAGAGCAGTCATGCATTATTAAACAAACAGTGTGTGTGTGTGTGTGTGTGTGTGTGTGTGTGTGTGTTAGGTATGCTAAGTACTTAAAAAATAATATAGTGATCTTCACTAGCACATTTCTGTATTTATAGTAGACTTTGATTATTCATCAGAGATAAAGTAGTACAAAGTATTCTACTGTTGCATATGTTTTATATTTGTCGTTACATTCGTCTCACACTGGGATGAGACTTATTTTTCTAGATGACCCTGAAAATTCTCTTTTGACCTACCTCCCATACTTAGAAACACACACACACACACACACACACAAACCAGCATTTAGGAGAGGATTAATGTAAGAGGCAGCCACACTCAAAGAGCAAATCTGCACTGAAGGCATTTTCCTGTGCTTTCCATTCATACAGTAAGTATGGATACTTCCCACATCCTTCCAAATGGAAAATCCCAGCTATCCCCTCCAGTACTGGTTTTTCAGACCAGCCACAATTTGAACTTGTATCTCTTCCTCTGGTTGGAGGACAATGGAATGTAATTGCTCTCATTGGTCTGCTCAAGTAGGCTACTTGGTGTTTTACACTGACTGGGGGTTTTTGCATTTCCTGCTTATGATAATGGCTGCCATCAGGTGTGTGTCTCTTTGCCATTGCTGAAAAGTTTAAAGTTTTGTTTGAGGGAGCTTCCATTTTTCTGCTTCACTGTTCTTTTTTGGCATTTTGTTATACCAGCATCACATCTGTCTATTAAGCATCCTTTGCTTTATCTTTGTGCCTCTGTCTCTCATCTTTTTAGCTCCTCCTCAGATTCACCCTCTTGGGTCTGTAATAAACCTATAGTTAGCTGTTAAAACCATGTTTAGACTAAATGGCCCCTAGTGTCTCTCTCTCTCTCTTTCTGCTTGCTGTTCGAGTTTACAGCCAATGGGCCTTAAAATGACTTAATTTCCTATCTGCCTCCTGGGGGAGCTTTTAGGGAAGCTAAAAGCTGGTCACAGCCCGCAGAGAGTGAGTATCAGGAAAGCCTTGGGCTGTGGCAGACCCCAGACAAATCAAAATCGCTATCGCTTTTATTGCCACATGCAGTGTCCACACAGAAATGTATCATGGTGATACTGATGTAGAACTGTGCACAGGGCAGTCCCTTAACAGCATGTCCACTAGTATTTGTTACCTGTTGTTATAGTTTTTCAGATTTACTGTCCTTGCTGCTCTTGAATTTCTTTTATTTTTGTCTAAGTGTTATTTGTTTCTTTTGTTGATTTATTGATTCATTATTTGGTCCATTGATGTCAGACAATAACAATGTTTCAAAAGCCAAAGCTGGCATATTCAGATTACTTAATTTGTTTAATCAACAGTTAAAAACAGAGACATGTAATATAATACAGAGGGGGGAAACAGCAATTATTCACATTTAGAAAATGAAATTAGCCTTTTTTCCCCCTTAAAAAGCTTAAATGATTCATTTCTCATCAGAATAGTTGCTGATAAATTTCTGTCCTTTGACTAATCATTGGAGAATATTTGGAGAACCGGCTGTATACTCAAAGATCACAGTTTGGATTAATTCATGGCCTCTGATAATACCCAACAGTACTATGTGTTACTTGAATCATCGAGTCTGTTCTCTGCACCTCCATCACTGTCTGGTTTGGCTCAGCAACCAAACAGGAACAGACTTCAGTGGACAGTCACGACTCCAGAAAAGGTCATTGGTGCAAGCCTGCCCTCCATGGAGGACCTGTACACCTCACAGGTCAGGAGGAGGGTGGACAAGATATCTGCAGACCCCTAACACCTGGGACACAATCTGTTTGAACTCCTCCCCTCTGGACGGCGTTACAGGTCACTGTGCACCAAGACAACCAGGCACAGGGACAGTTTCTTCCCCCCGGCTGTAGCTCTTGTACTTGTATTTGACCTCGGAATAAACAATTAAATGCTGATTAATTTGATTGTTTTAATTCCATGCAGACATTTGGCTTCCTGCAGCAAAGAAAAGTGTTCAAATCCATGTTTTCAGTCTACTAACACGTGACTCCCTCATTGGCAGCTTTGCTTTCTGGCAAGGTTAACTTAAGAGCTACTGTATGTCTGTCTATCTGTGCTTAGGTGTGTTCTTGCATGTGTGTATCTCCATGTTGCTTTTTCAGCGGCTGTTTGCTATTCCTCGCTCTGCTGTGTATGTTGATGTGATGGCGTAGGATGGTTCTTTTACCGGGAGCCAAGGCTGACTCCTGCCATCGGGTTCAGATCGCTGTACCAAATTTAAAAGCCCTCAGTGATTGACACACAGAGCTGTGAGCCTGAAATGTATAATTGATTCATGGAGGAAAGAGTTTGTTTGTGTGTTGGGATAACATGAAACAGTGGTTGGCAGTGGAGTCGATGTCGTACAGTCCAGAGAAAACCATTTGATGCATAAATGAATGGGAGCAGGGGGTCGGACAAACTGTAGGGTACATGACTCCCAGGCAGATTGTTTGTCAGCAGGGTCAGAGGGCCACTGTAGAGGTGTGATCCAGTTCTTAGCACCATGGGGATAACCTTAACCTGGTAGAACTTGAAGACTAATCTGGTTGACTATAATAATATAATTTCTTGTTTTATGTCAGAAATCCACAGATAGTTTACTGTTTTTTGGGATCTGAGAAGCTAGAAATAGTAAATATTTGACATTTTGTCAGTAAAAATGACAAAGCAGTTATATAGAACGATGCAATTCTACATAATATAACATTGTTTTTTTCCAGGCTCTTGTGGACTCAGCTGGAATGAGGGCATCACATGTCAAACCCTGAGTGTGTACCCATCCACGCTACAGTGACAACAGTTAATACTGTAAACTGTAATAACCTTCCTATAAAACGGCTCACTACCATTTGGTTCCTCCTTCATTTTAAGTCCTCAAAAGTGTCCTCAGTTAATAGGGCTGTGTTATTTAACAAGACTGTGAAGTCCTCGTCAGCAGCATTAACACAGTGACACACAGGCAGTTTTATCAGGCCTCTGTGGCAGCGACAGCTCTGGAATTAGTAGCCTAGAGAGGGAGGTAAGGAGGCAAACAGCATTATTACACATTGCCAGCTGTGTCTGAACACCAGCAATACCGCTGTAGTGGTTGTCACACATACATTTGTGCGCACGGAGCCTAGTGTTACCTCCACATTGAGCTCTGTTGCAGACCTTCTGAGGTGTGAAGTGTGTGCTGGGTGCAGCACTTCTCATTATAACAGTGGTGCTGGCTTTGGCATCAGGACAGAAGAGGGCAACTTGGCTCAGCCAGCAGTCACAGCAATTTACAGGTCTGACAGAGAGAAAGAGGGAGAATTAAATAGCATTTTGAGCTGTGAAATAGACTGCAGATGGGTAGAATCCACTGCTGGTGGATGTATGATGTGTTCATGTTTACTTTACTAGTTTTTAATTATGGGGATACATGTATTTTCTTTATTATGTAGGATTTGACAGAAAACTATGTATCTTGGGTTGTGAGGTTGAAATGATGTGCATGTGTATTTTTCATGCAGAGTTGGAGATTTTTCAAAATATTTCTGAGATTTAGTAGCAGAGTGCCAGCAAAGTTCCTGATAGCATCAGGATTTGTGCTCAATGCCATGATAATCTTGTTTTACACTGTATTATTGCCCTAGTCTGGCTCAAAAATAAAAGCTCTGATCTTTCACTGGAGTACATTTTCAATACATATACAGTATTTGGATATGTATACATGTGATACATATTATGGATTACATTTGTACATGTATTTTTTAATCTGCTTAGCAAGCAAGATTCTACATTGTGTGATTCTTTTCATACAGCTGCATTTCCAGTGGACTCTTGGCACAGGTCACCGAGACGCAAAGAGGTCAGGCTGTTGAACTTCGATGCAGAAACGGAACAAACAACATCATAATGAATAGTTTTAGATGGCACTGTTGTTGAAATCACTATGTTGTCAGAAGGGCACAGTGAGCTGCCCCCTCCTCTGCCCTCAGACAGAACATAGACTTCAAGGGAGTGTTTCCAGAGAGGAGGCAGCTGGAGATGCCTTAACAGCACCATGCTGTTAAAAACAATCTCCTTCAGTCTTTGCTGTGACACGATTCCTCTTCTGGCGTGACCCTACATGGTGATGATTTAAAGGTTACAGAAATGATACTGACTCTTCTCTCTGCCCCCTTTTTTGTTTGTCTGCAGAAGGGATCTGTAACATGACAATGGACTCCAACGCAATGACCATGCCCCTGTCAGACCCCAACGCCTGGGCGACAGCCATGAACAACCTGGGGATGCCTCCTATTGGTATGACTGGGCAGCCACTGATGCCAGGTACCACTTTACCTGAACTTCACCACATAACACCCAAATGAAACCCATAGAAGCCTTTGTGTTGGAAGTTTTTCAGACACTTCACTAACAAGCTTCATTATTCAGTTTCCATTCAGGTGACTTGTATTTTGTCATGTTAGCACCATTTTGTTGATTCCAGATACAATATGACTAATGTTTGACCAATATTCTCAAGCAAATCTACCTCTTTCTAGAAGCCTCACATGGTTTACAAGCTTAAGCATTTTCAACATTGTATTACGTAGACATATTCACTTCACAACTGTAGCTTTAGCTGCTGCTCCACTCCAGTTATAATAATTTGATTCATTTGGTTTTGTCCTTCTGGCTGTCTTCCCTTTAAGACATGGGAAAGTGTAGATTATTTAAAAGAAACACAAGAACTGTAGGAAATTTAGTGTAGGAAATAAATCAAAACTTCAGTGAGCAAGATTTTTATTCCTCTGCGCCGGCGATAGATGCAGCCGAAGGCATAATGTTCTTAGGTTAGCTGTCCTTCCGCATGTCCTTATGAATCTTGTGAACATAATATCTCAAGAACACCTTTTGGCACAAATGTCCACTTGGACTTAAATATAATTGGGTTAGATTTTGGTGATCAAAGGTCAGGGACCTCACTTCTCTCCCATTCCTATCAATTTGACTGGTTGGTGGAGGCATACATCCACAAAGCAGTATTTCTGGTTCTAGCTTATTTTAATTTTGTCATTTACAGAATGAACAGGACATTTTCATGTTATGTGACGGCTGAGTTTTAGAAATTTGTTACGTGCAGTGATACAGTAGGTTTGTTAATTGCTGTGAGGTGTGTCCCTGCCTTTTAAGATGGTATACACAGTCAGAAAGCTCTGTCTTATAGCAGCTGATACGACTGAATACATCTGGAACAAGTGAAAAAGCAGCAGGTTTTCAACCATTACAGCTGTGTGTTGCATTTATCAAAGCAGGCCAATCAAACCAATACCTCTCTAGCTGTTGTCAGTGATACATGGTATGGATTACATACAGATTCACAGGTTCCCGTGTATACAGAAATCAGTGTCACTTGATATCATCGAGTTAGAGCAAAAGTTGAGTACAACCCCAGTATTTATTTCATCACATTGAAATTGATTTCCTAATAATAATTTGATATGAAACCACTTTGGCTTTGTCAATTGAAAACATACATACTAAGATAAGATAAGAAGCCTTTGCTGTCATTGTATTAAAATACAACTTCTGTGCACTATAATTAAAACACTGGATGTTGTATGAGAACTGACTTTTCCTCATTGCTGGTCCTCTCTTTGACATTCACAAGTAACAGGCACTCTGGAGAGCTGAGCTCCCCCCCCACACACCATGACAAAAAGGTTGTTGTCACTGGTTTAATATCATCTGTTCAACAGTTTGGAGCCAATAGTTTATGGGGATTAAACCAATAACATGTCATTTATTCAATAATTCATCCTGTGCTATAACACCCTCAAGGAGCATTTTGTAAGCACAAAGTTGAGCTACTGTTTTCTGAGCTACTACCATAATATTCAGCCTTACCGCAGTCTACAGTATAACATTAGGTTCAGCTGCACCCTCCCACTCTCCATCTCAGAAGAGTTATTTTGCCATGTCTTTTCTCTCTTCAGTAGAAAGCCTTTCCCCAAAGCCTTTTATAAATCACTTCCCACTTCTTCTTAGCTGAAATGCACTTTCATATTTGAAATATGCCAGGCTTGTGTGTAGATGTGTGTATGTGTGTGTCTGAGCTTGGAGACAAACAGTCTTCCAAATGCACTTCTTGAGCAATATTAAGGGGAGCAGACGCACACACACTCGGGGCTGCCATATTTCAAATATGGTAAACAAAATGCTTTCTACTAAAAGAGGAGATACAAGTGGTAGAGGGAGAGGGGAACCGAGCAGCTGAACCAACTGTTGGAGATGAAGGAGGAGATTGGACACATCCGTCCAAGAGTCTATTTTCAAGATGAAGTAAACATTGAGGATCCCAACTTCCTCCTCTTGAACTTTATTTGTCGTGCCTTAAGGCATTTTTTTTTGACAGCAGACATTTTAACTTGTCATAGCAGGAAATGCACAGGTGTAACATCTGACATTAATGATGGCTCTGTTCTATTTTTAGTGTGTTATTAAGCAATGCTGGTGGTACAGCTTGCAAAGGAACCTGAGCCTATAAACTGGCACAAATAAGTGAAATCCAGCAGTGATGTTATCAGCTGCACCTGTGTTTGGCAAATTGAAATGTCTGCTGTGAGAAAGGTAAATGAAACTGCTTAGGTGCTTAATCAGATCAGTTCTTGCTTGCCTACAGTCATACTTACTGCCAGGTGCACATGCCAGTTGGTTTTGGACTGTGTTTGTGTAATGGGAAGGAAAAGTGCATATTCATGCATCAGTAGTTAGAATCCAGCTAATTGTTGTGCACGTTGGACTACTTCAGGCAGCTGTGTGACTGCAGAGTTGGTCGAATGAGGGTAAAAAAAAACAACAAAACTGCTGCTTTGGAGATGCTCTGATCCGGTCCTCTAGCCAACGCAGTTTGGCCCTTGTCAGAGTCGCTCTGATCCTTACGCTTGCCCATTTTTCCTGCTTCCAACATCAACCTTTAGAACTGACTGTTCCCCCCCTGCCTATTACATCCCAGCCCTTGACAGATGTTCCACTGTAATGAAATGATGTTATTCAAGATGCATTGACACATAGGCCAATATTCGCTACATTTGTGTTTATATGTGTAAAATCTTGTTTTTGAAGAATCTGCAGTTTGGATGTCTGAAAATTATGTAAATATAGCATTAAGTTGAAGACTGCTACAGGGCTCCCTACTGCAAGTGATCAGTCACATTTTGTGACCAAATTAATTGAAGGTGTGACAGATGTTTTTACAAAGGTTGCACTGGGTGTGCCTACAAAATATACAGGTTATGCACAAATGATGCTCTCTCTGTAGAAATAGTGGACAGATGTAACAGCCTCCACAAAACTGTCATCGCAACATTTATCTGCTGGCCTGTCACTCGCCCGTCTCACGAGGCAGAGACTTGGATCCACAATAACTCCAAGACGCACGTCTCCCCTTGTGGATCACCTGGAAAAACAGCTGGTGATTCCCCAACACCAGCCCAAATTACCCAGCATCTCATTTGTCTCATTACAACTGAGTCAGCCACTGTTACCCAGAGCCACATTTGGACACATGCTGTCCATCTTTTCTCCTCAGCGCTGAGCTCCTTTACACTCATCAACTGCACTTAGTCACACTGAAATGCTCATGCACTCAACAATTGACAAATAATTACAATGATAAAGTATTTCTAATGCAACTGATTGATTTAAAGCAAAAGTGAAGTTTTTCTCTCCCAGATGATCAAGAAAACTACTCCTGATATGTACATTTTAGAAATATGACTGTTTCATCATGTCTTTACACTCCAAAGGAATTTTACATATATTACTCACAGGCCTATATTTTCCACCCATGCATTTTTCACTTCAGTCAAGCCAAAAGAACTTCACTTGTTGAGCCCCAAGAGGAATATACAAGTGGGAAGAGATCCACTTAAGCACTCCTCCACTTGCATGCATTTAATTTCTCAGTTAAACTTAAGCATTAAAAACCCCCCCACTAGGTTGGCCACAAACAGTGTCCCGCTATTTTCTATAAGCTATTCACTTCTGTACACAGTGATCATTGTGTGCATTTCCTATTGGCTTTTTTCTTGCTTTCCAAACTAAGCCAATGAACTTTATAAAATCCTGTGAATGCAAAGCTCTGTTCACACACACACACACACACACACACACACACACACACACACATTCTCCTGTCACACACCACCATATCTTCAGTCCTCTCTCCCCGTTTGTCATCCAGCACTTGTTACCAGAGCACCTTGTACCTTTGAAGTAATCCAGGTGGATTAGTTATTGATTCTCCATTATGCCTGAACATCATTGTTGTCACCTTTTGGTTTCACCTCTAAACAACATAACTGCCACTCGCTTTCTCTCACACAAACTGCATCACAATATTCAAAATATCATACCTATGACAGACATATAACACACATGTCCACAGCACAATACACACCCGTATAGACACAAACACAAATGTGACTGAGCTAAATCAAAACATGTAGAAAAAGGCAAACAAAACAAGTTTGATACTGTTACTTAAAATAATTGAAATGGTTACTTATATGTTAAGGTCTAGGCTAAATCAAGAGAGGATTATGGGGGCTCAGAGTTTGGCAGTGCAAGGCAGGTCAGCTTCTCTTTAAGAAGTTGAATCAAACTACATATGTCAGAAAGTTCAGTTCTCTGTGACTCCTGACCTGAGTCTCTTCCTTTATTGTGGTCGTATAGTTCATTCTCAACCAACATTGGAGTATTTCCTACAGGCCCAATCTTACCAAATGTACTGACTGGTGGTTCTTTGTTCACCCGTGATATTTGCAGTTCCAGAAGTGAGCAAATAAATAAAATTGTGCTCAGTAGATGTTGATATGTCTGCCAAGGGCTCCAGGTTTCTAAAGTCAGTATTATTTGGCATCAGATGGCTATTTTTAAGTCTCCTCCCTTGGCATGGGGTGTGTCTGTCAGGGTGCCACCATCTTGCACCAGCAAAAGTGTTTTTTTATGTTAGTTTCAGGCTCATTCATTATAAGCTGCTGCCTGTGCCGGAGTGCTTTCATTGCACATTAGAGTTTGCCTCTGTTCCATTCACTGTTAGACTGGAATGGATTTCTCCACCACCGAGACTTTTCCCTGCCTCTGGCCAAGTGGATATATCCAGACAGACAGCTGTATAAACAGAGCACTACAGAGCCTACAATGCTCTGCAGCCTCATATAGCCTGGTGCATGGCTCCAGTGAAGAGTTTTATTTCTATAGATCGGCTGGGCAGTGGCTGTTATTTTAGGAATGTTATTATTGTATTTATATTAGTGACAGGTTTGGATAGGAGGAGACCCTGC